TCCCCCCTCCCAATTTCAGTTGAATTCATGGGAACATTCCGACCCTGAGAAGCCCAGTAGGTGACTCTCCCTCTTGGAGCTAGCTGTCTCCCCTCTGTTTCCCCCATTCTGTGCCCTGCGGTGGCTGTGGTCACAAGAGCCACAGGCAGGGCTCTGACTCAGCCTGTGTGGGGTGCCACTTCCCCAGCCCGTCTGTCAGCTGTGGTCCCAGGAGAGGTGGAAGGAATTACTCAGCATGCCCTGGATGTTCACAAGTGGCTCGATTCCCTGACCTTAATATTTTTCGTTTCTTGTTCTTGAGCATGTTCTGCAGACTGAGGGCTGTAGGTTGCTGGTTCTCAGCCACGTTTTCCTGAGTGTGCATGATTTTTCCAGGTTGACAAGAAAGACGTGTGACCCAAGCTCTGAACCCATAGTAGGAGGACCCAGGGCCTAGTCCATCATGCTGGGTGAACTTGGGCCAGCCCCTTCCCATCTGTGGGCTCCCTGTTAGTCCAGCAAATAGTCAGTGAGTCTGGGATAGCAGACAGCATGGGAACCCCCACCACCCACCCTGGATTACAGCAGACATTACTGAAATTGCAGGGTCTTTCCCTCAGAAGTCACTGGTGCCAGAATCCTAATTGCAGGCCCCCAGGCAGCCCCAGGAACTGATTGATCAATAAGAGCCAGGTTTTGACTCTTCTACTTGCCATCCTTGATGTCCCTCCTGACAGTCAGAACTTCAGCCCACAGTGGACTTCCCGCCCTCACCTTTCCCTCTGCCTCTCCCCCCTCTGAGAAGAACTCTGCGGCTCCATCTCCCCTCAGCTCTGCAAGGCTCTGCCCTTCCCCCACAGGCTGCCAGAGGCCACAGCCCTGCTCTGACTTCTCAGCTCTGTGAACTTGGAGGATTTCTTAGCCTCTGTGAGCCTGTTTCCTCACCTGTAAAATGGGGCCAGTACCTGCCATAAGGGGTTGTGAGAATGTGTCTGGCAGAGCATCAGCCACAGGGGGCACTCGGCGCACACAGGTCATTTGTGCCATAGCACCTGTTCCGGGCTCTGCCAGGCAAACCAATCCAGGATTTCGATGGGGAAAAAAATGACACAACGAGCCATTACTTGACAAACTTTTATTTTAGCTTTTACACCCCCCCCTTCCCAGGCTGCCTGACATCTTTCCCCCTGCCCAACTCTGGAGGCAGCCTGACCCCACCTTGTGCTTTTGGGGGTGGGGAGTGGAGTGGGGGTTAATTCCCATTGGCCCCCCAGGGAGACCAGGGAACTGTACCTTTAGAGCTTGTAAACCTGCACCAGGCAGGACTGGGGCCAACACCTCATCCCACCAGCTGGGTCTGGCCCAGACACGGGCTCTGGGCAGCTCCTAACACCCCTGGAGACCCAGAGCCTATGAACAAGAGCCACCACCCACACCCCCAATGCTCAGGACTTGGGAAAAAGGGGGACAGGAAACGTACCGAGGCCCCAGAGGTACCTGCCACAGATCAGGGCTGGCCTGGAGAAGGCAAAGAACTGAGTGAGATTCTTGAGATGCCTTTGTGTTCAGCCAAGACTCCTGGCCCTGGCCCTGGGGCGGGCCAACTGTCCTCTCTCATCCCTACCCAGCCAAGCTGAGGGCCAGGCACCCTGTCCCTTCCCACCAGCCAACAAGAAACAGAAGTAGTGAAAATGCTAAGTGTTGTTGCTAAAAAGAAACACCACCTACGTATTAAAAATTAAATTAAACGGAATCCCCAGTCAACTGAGCCAGCAGTGAGCTGGTGATGGCAGACAGACAGCCCCCTCCTCCCCGAGCCAGCCCAGGTTCTTCCCCCCCCACCAGCCCAGGTCTCTAAAGACAGCAGGAAGGGGCCTCGTGGGCCAAGTCTGTCTATCATCAAGAGGGACCCTCTGAAGAATAAAGGTTGGGGAGAGGTGTCCTCAGGGGGTCCCCAGTGTGGGGCACTGAGGACTTGTAAACATGGTCCAGCTTGAGGGCCCAGGAGTATCCCAGCCCCCAGAGTGTCTCTCCGGATGAAGAACGGCCACTGTGGTGCCGAGGAGAGTGAAACAGCAGCCAGCCTCCCCATCGGAATATTGGGGATGGAGGGAGGCTGGGCTGTGATGGAGGAGGGGGTTTCAGAAGCCAAGCACAGCTTCGCAACTGCGTCTTTGCCCCTGCCAGATCAGCACCCAGGCCCCTTCCGGGCGGTGAGTCAGCTCGGGCCACCCTCCCTAGTGAAACCTGCCGGAAAGTCAGCTCAGGCCACGGCTGCCCAGCCAGACTAGACCAGGTCAGATGAGCTCCCGAGAGGCCTCGTCCCAGGACGGGGGTGGAAGAGCTGGCTCTGGGTGAGGAGACTGAGGATGTGGCTAAGGACCATCGGGAGACCGAGGGAGAGCCACCACGTGAACACAGGCACGGCCTCGGCGGGCCAGCAGCCCTCGGGACCAGGCAAGCTCGCCATACCGGTTCCGCATTAACCTGCTGGCACCTTCTGCACCTGCTGCTTCTGGAGGCAGGCAGGCAGGCGGCCTGGAGCCAGGCCAGCTTCTCTGGAGCAAAAGGAGGTCAGACCTAGGCGTGGCGTGTGGTGTGGCACACCCGAACCTTCTCTCTGTCCATGCCAAGGTCCTGTCAGGGACCAAGGCTAACTGGGCATTTGCCTGGTGATCCTCACCAGGTCCCAGTCAGGGACCTGATGCCAGCAGCAGGCCTTTGCTGGTTGGTTTGGCTGGGCCTGGGGCTAAAGTTCCTTCAAAACCAGCCCTCGGGCTTCCTGAGGCTCAGCCAGGCCCAGGAGTCTCCTTTGAATGAGGCACAATGGCCTCTTCTGAGTCCTAAAGCACCCCTTAGGACTCAAGTCCCTCCAGAACCAGGACTCCCGGTGACCTCAGGGCTGGGCCCGGCTCCGGAGCCACTGGCTCCTCAGGGCCCTGACCTCCTGCCCGTACAATTCGTGCAGCTGGGCGAAGGTGGCTGAGTCCAGAGGCCCGTTGGGCGCCGAGGCCCGCCGGCGGGGTGGCAGTGGCGGGGGCTCTGGGCCAGGCCGGGCGCCCGTGGAGGTGGCGGGTGGCTCGGTGCTCCAGACCGCACAGCCGTTCTCCTTGGGCGGGAGGGCGCGGGGCCGGCGCGG